ACATTTTCCTGGCCTTTGCTCTGTCTTACACTTTGAGCTTTCCAGTTCTCCCTCTTTACTGGTTCTTCCGCTCATCCTCCAAAGTCTCCACAATCTCAAAAAATAACAAAGGAAAGAAAACATCTTGATTTTCCTCCCTTTTCACTCAGTCCTTAACCCATTGTAATTTGTCTCTCACCCTCACCACACTCCAAAGAAACTGGATTTGCCAAGGACACCAGTGGCTTCTGAGTTGCTAAATACAATAGACGTGTACCAGTCCTAATATAACTTTTCTGAAATATTTATTATTATTTTTCTTCAGTGTTTTATTACAGAAAAATCTAAACATGTGTAAATGTAGAGATTTAAAATATAGAGATTTAATATGAATCATCTGAGTCAGTAATTATCAATACATGGCCGATCTTATTCATCTATAGCCACAAACTCTGCCGTTCCCAACTGCTTATTTTGTAGCAAATCACTGACATCATATAATTTCTTTCTTTCTTTTTTTTTTAAGAGACAGTCTCACTTTGTCACCCTCAGTAGAGTACTGTGGCATCACAGCTCACAGCAGCCTCCAGCTCCTGGGCCTAGGTGATTCTCTTGCCTCAGCCTCCCGAGTAGCTAGGACCACAGGCACCTGCCACAAGGCCCAGCTATTTTTTTGTTGCAGTTTGGCTGGGTCCGGGTTTAAACCCACCACCCTCAGTATATGGGGCCAGCGCCCTGCTCACTGAGCCACAGGCGCCGCCCCATATAATTTCTTTTGTAGATAGATATTTCAATAAGCATCCCTAAAAGGTAAAACCACTTAATGCGATCATATCATGGTCACACCTAAAAATAGTAATTTATAAATCACATCAGTATATAGTCAGTATTTGCATTTCTTTGATAGCCTTCTAATTTTTTTCAATTGGTTCATTGTTTGAACCAAGATCTATGAGGGCTGTCCAGAAAGTATCCCCCCTGTACTATGAAAAAGAGACATGTGTGGCTGGATACTTTCCGGACTGCCTTCGTGCATAAGATCCATATTGTAAAACTGGTCGAAATGTCTCAAGCTCTGTTTTGTTCTTTTTGTTTTTTTCCATAGTTTCTACTTCCATCTTGTTTTTGCTCTTAAAAAGTTTTTTTTTTTTTGGTTTTGTTGCAGAAATGAAAATGTCCTATAGATTTCCCTATAGACTGGATCTGACTGACCACACTCTCGTAATTTTATTTAATATTTTCCATCTGTAGCTCTTATTGCCTCTCCATTCAGACATGTAGAAGATTTGTAAGATTCAGATTCAAACTCACAAACCTACTTCAAAGGTGGTATTGTTTTTATAATATTGTCAGCAATGATCATTGTCTAGATAATAGGGTTGGTAAAATGATGATATTAAAATGCTATCATTTCTTATTCCTACATTAACTGGAAAAACTTGCCCTCATCGACTATTTAGTAACCTTGAAGTACAAATATGTAGAAAAGACAGAATAAATGTTTGATTCTTTCCTTTACTTACTGGTTTTCAAAATAGTGAGTTGGTTTGCTTTGTATTCTCCAAAGGCGACCAACAAGGTTTTTTGTTTGTTTTCTTCGGCATCATTATGAACTCATGAATCTATTACCCCTACTGATGTTCTGTGAGCCAGCAGAAGCTCACTTAACTTGGCTTTCAAGTCTTTTTGACAACAACTTTGTAGTGTTTGGTAACTTCCTTGCTTCTGTTATAACAGAACATTCTCAATTTATTTTATACCTTTCCTGCTCCTGACCTAGAATCAGGAATGTCTTCTGGTTTCTTATTTATTCTTCATCTCCTCCTCTCCCCACCCTCCCTCTCTTTCCTTCCTTCCTTCCTTCCTTCCTTCCTTCCTTCCTTCCTTCCTTCCCCTTCCCCTCTCTTCCTTCCCCTTCCCCTTCCTTCCTTCCCCTTCCCCTTCCTTCCTTCCTTCCTTTCATCTTCTGGTTTCTTTTTAGCAGAACTTGTATTTTGGGAGTGTACTCTGGGCACCAGAAATATTATTGCTATTGGATTAGTCACTGTTTCTAGAACTTTTTGGTAGAAAGATAATATACACCATGAGTTCTTAGTGACAAGTCCAGCTCAAATTCAGGATAATTGCAGAATTATCCTGACTTTTAACTCCATATTTAGTATTTCCTTTTAAGCAAGCTGATAATCTAAGTTCTCAATGACACCAACATAGTCCTTTATGTCATAATGCAGATACTACAGTCTCAGATTATCGGTAACACACAATAATAAGCAAAGCGAGCACTAGAAATAGTTGAAGTTTTTTGGCAGTATTTTTTAAATCCTTAAAATACATCCCTTTAGGAATGAACATTTGACATGCTGAGTTTTAAAGTCACTTTAAACCATCTCTTACTATAAGGTTTTGTCACAACTTTGAACCACACCAAACATTGATTCATACTACTTTAAATTTTTTAGGAGCCAATTTTAAAATGTATCTTATCTCATTTTACGACTATATAAAATATTTACATGGTTCCAACATCAAAATGTACAGACAAGGTATATTCAAGCAAGCTTGGCTATTATCTTTGTTTTAGCCTCTTACCTCCCTTAAGTAAAGTAACTTAAGTACATTTTTTTGGTGGTTTATTCTTTCAACTTTTAAATATATTTATAAATATAATTCTAAACAATGACCATATACTATTTGTACTTCTCTCCACCAGGCTTTATTCATTTAAAGAAAGAACCTGGCGATCACTCCCTAGTATTACTTAGCAGCCTTCTTCACTTTTTCTTACTGAATAGCAGTACTCCATTGGGTGCACATACCAGACTTTTGATCCATCCACCCAGGGCTCTGTTGATGGAAATTTTTTGAGTTGTATTCAGTCTTTTGCTATTCAAGTAATCTTTCAATGAATGGCTTTCTGCATATTTAAAGATAATTCACACCCTGAGTTCTTACTGATAAGTTCAACTCAAATTGGATATGTCTTTTTCTTATTTTGGATAGTCTATCTCTGGCATAGATTCCTAGAAGTGGAAATAGCTCTGTTATAGCATGTATCACTTTTAGATGTTGCCACACATATTATTTTTAGATGTTGCCAAATTCTCCTCCACAGTGTTGTGCCATTTTGCATTTCCAGGGGCGATGGAAATGAGAATGGCTAAGTTCGTTCAGCCTCATCAGAGAGTATGTCGTGAAACTTAGATTCTGTCAATCTGATAGGTGAAAATAGATTTCTCGACTTGGTTTTCATTTGAATTTCTCTGATAAGTGAGGTTGTGCATCTTCGCACAGAGTTAAGAGCCAGTTCCATCCTTTTGACACGGTCTTCTCCATAGATTTCAAGAAGCCATGCACAAAAAGTTATAGTCATCTGTCTTTTATTCCTTCAGCTATTTTTAAATTCCTTTTTCTTTTCTTTGTTTTTGTTTGTTTGTTTGTTTGTTTTGAGACAGAGCCTCACTTTGTCACCCTCTGTAGAGTACGTGGTGTCATAGCTCACAGTAACCTCAAACTCTTAGGCTCAAATGATTCTCTTGCCTCAGCCTCCTGAGTAGCTGCAACTACAGGTACCCGTCACAATGCCCAGCTATTTTTAGATACAGGGTCTCACTCTAGCTGAGGCTAGTCTGGAACTCCTGAGCTCAGGCAATCCACCTGTCTCAGCCTCTCAGAGTGCTAAGATTATAGGCGTGAGCCACTGCACCAGCGTAATTTCTTTTTCTAGTTCCACTTTCCCTACTTCTTTCCTAAGTACTCCTTTTTCTCCAGATTGAGTCTTAGCATTTCTTATAAAAATCATTCTTTGGTTGTGAATATCATTGCTATTTTTTTTTTTTTTTTGAGACAGAGCCTCAAGCTATCCCCCTGGGTAAAGTGCCATGGCATCACAACTCACAGCAACCTCCAACTCCTGGGCTCAAGCGAGTCTCCTGCCTCAGCCTTCCAAGTAGCTGGGGCTACAAGCGCCTGCCACAATGCCCGGCCATTTTTTGGTTGCAGCCATCATTGTTGTTTTGGCGGGCCCAGGCTGGGGATTCGAACCCGCCACCTTAGGTGTATGTGGCTGGCGCCTTAGCCGCTTGAGCCACAGGCGCCGAGCCATCATTGCTATTCTGACTGCTACCAAGTGCACACTGCAGCTCTCTCTCTCTCTCCACCTACCCTTGTGGGGATCTGGAAATGGGCCTCCCAGGCACCTTAACCTCAGCATGTGCAAAGCTCTCCCCTCACACCCTTCTTCCGCTGCTCTGCAGCGCAGTGAGTGCTGCCATGACACACCAGCCACCCAGGGCAGAAGCCTGGGTCCTCTGTGGTCACTCCCTCTCCTTTTCCCCTATCGAACCAATAGCCAGTTTCTGAGGCTTCTATCTCTTAAATTTGATTCTCAAGGCCATTTACTTTCTTTCCATTCCAGACTACTGGTCTAAGCCACTGTCACTTCTTCTCTACATTACTGCACCTTCCTTCCGGATGGTGTTTGCTTTTCTTCTTGCTCTCAAACATGCTGAAAATTACCTTTGAAAACACAAATAACACAGAGCCATTTACCAGCTTAAAAACCACCACGGGTTCAAAATAAAAAATAAAATAAAATAAGCCCTTGCAACCAACCAAACAATAAGACCAACAACCAAAGTCCTAAGTGTATCTTTCCACAAGTACATATGTAAGTAAGCACATGTTACCATGTTCTGGAAGATCAACCTTGAACACAGAAGAGGGGCACGCAATGAAGGGGACGCTGTGGGCCAGGTTAGAGTTGATGAACAACAATGTCGGCTTCATCATTACTTTAACTATTTGAAATTTTTGCAATTAGAATGTTTTCCAGTATTTGTTTCTATATTTAAACATAAATAAAATGGACTGAAGAAGTAGGCTTTAACTAGCTGTGAGGCAGAGAGGGCTCACCAGCAGGTGCATACATTTGGAAGAGGCTTCACGTCCACTTCCCCAGACAATGATAAAAACACCCTCTTCCTCCACATATTACCTGAGAATTTCAATCAAGGTATTCTTACCTTTGTGGTCCAAAGCTTGACAGTCCAGTCAAATGATGATGTAACAAACAGGTGGGAAAAGTCGATGGGGCCCACTGCCATGTGGCAGTTAATTCCTGTCACTGGCCCTTGGTGACCTTCAAAGACCTCACCGATCCCAGCTTTGCTGCGTGAAGAACACATGAAAGGAGTGACCTTTGCAAAGCAGTGATTGCTTCCAAAAGCCACAAACTCCCCTCTGCATATTGACTTCTCCATAGTTTACAATAACCATTCACCACTAAACACAAAACTACACTCACAGTTATCCCAAAAGAAAGAAATGGTTTGCAGACATGTGATGCAGTATTTTTGGTTAAAAAAATATCAGGCCTTTTTAAAGTTCAGAGTTTAATATCACATTTTATCATTTCATCCTTTAGAAGTTCCAATGATTAGAAGTTCAAGTCCTATTGTTGATACAGCTATTCTAGTGGAATCAAATATACTTAGATCTCAGAAGAGTTCATATTTATAAGACTATTTATTCTTGAAGTGGCATTTTGTACATTTTCTATTTTAACTTTTTTTTGGGAGCCCATAGGCTATGACATTCCGTACATCCCTGGAGAAATAATCATTTATTCTTTCAAGAAAAATTATTCAATTAAGTTATTATGCCTAAAAATGTAATACTTCTTAGAAACATGTGTTACCACAATACGCATAATTTAAATAAAATATGGAGGAAAGGACATTTTCTCCTCACTGAAAGCAGAAGAGAAATTTCTATATCCACTGTCAATTCCACAAAGGCAGGTACTTTGTCTTGTTGCCACGTGTCTAGCATCTAGCACATAGTAAGTGCTCAATAAATATTTGTTGAAAGAAATAGCAAAGAAAAAAGGACAAACTTATGTCCTCTCCACTTTTTTAAAAAACAGAAGCACATTTGGGAAATAACAATACACATTTTAAAAGCTACTCACAGACATATTTTGCTTATTTAACAAGGTCGGGATTATTACCAGCCCTCTATTATCACATAATAGCCTGCATGCTATCATGCACAGTTAGGAAAATCTGAGAAAATAAACAAAAAATAGTGTTGTTCTTTTTTTTTTTTTTAATCAGATGTTCACATAAATTTCACCTTCTCAGAGAGCCCTCTTGTGAGTTTCCTGTTCCTACTGCGAGAAATTCCCATAAATTTTGTGGCTTAAAACGTCACGAATTTATTCCTTTACAGTTCAGAAAATAGAGTTTTTAAAAAATGTATGTGCACAAGTCTATATACATGACAAATGCATGGGGTAGTGGACTATTATGTCACTAAGAGTAAAAACGAATTCTGTTATTAAAACATTCGGGCCTCTGGAGCACGAGTAAGTGTCAATGAGCTGAACAAACTTTGGAATTCTGAGCAAAGTGCTTTGTGTGTGTGTTTGTGTAACAGGCCCTCAGAAAGCATACCCAGTGAAACTGCTAACAGCAGTTCCACACACGATGGTTGAAATTTGTTCTAATGAACCAAGGAACTGGTCTTTGAAGTGGGCCCTGGTGAGATTCCACTTGCTCTTAACAGCATCCTGAAAAGGTTTATAGGGTGCAAAACAAGGACCTTGTTTAACTCATGGAAGTGGATTTGCACCTTCTCTATGTTAGGTGAAAAACAGCAATGTCCTGCTTCTCCCCACAGCCCCATACGGACCATTTACGATGGCTACAAAGCCAGTGTGACGAGGGCATGAATTTGCTAAGGTTTGCATTTTATATTTCTGATGGAATTGGATGGACCAATGAAATGAAACTTGCTGTAAAGAGCTTTGTAGTGTGTGTCATAGGGAACCTCCTTTTGAGCCACAGATCATACATTTGATTGTGTTTGAAAAGAACAGTAACCACAGGGAAAAAATATTCATCACATAAAGGGTTATTTACATTAGAGAAACTAACAAAGAAGAAATTCTGAAGACTATCAGTGAACGTGTTCTATGGCTTTCCCAGATGATGAAGGACCTGGGCGGTACCCAGGATTAAGTGAGTTGATCCTGTGCCTACATTCCCTATGTAGGAATACGTAGGTAGGTAAAGCTGTGTCTTCACATGTGGTCCACTGCACCTTCTACACCTTTCATGCCACTTAAGACATTCTACTTATCTTCTGGATGTTTGTGCATTTATCTTTCCCACTGTCGTCAGTTTCTTGATGATAGGAACTATGTTTAAATGATGTCTGCAGGCTCTGTAGCATCTAGCAATGCACTTTGCTCAAAGTAAGTGTATAGTAAACGTGTATGTGGATGACCTTTATCGATCTTTTTATGACTGATAAGACTTTCATGTGTGCTTTTTGACAACTTTATGAAGGAGGAACTTTGGACATGGAACTGTGAGGCAAATCTCCCTAAGTCATCTTCAAATCATGTGAGCAGGACAAATACTGTTTGTTTTTGTGTGCAGAATAGCAGGAGGATAGCAGCTTATATTGTTTGAATGGAAAAAAAAAATAACAGAGCTGGGCCTAGATGCTTTACTTCTGTAAGGCACAAAACCACAGGAATATGAACTTGGAATACTTTGTGGTTCCTCATTAAATCTTAATAGCCTGGGATGAGTGCAAGAGATGAAAAAATCAATTGGACAAAAACTACAAAGTGAAAAGAGAAATTAAGCACCAGTGTGAATAGAGTGAAACTTTCAAAAGATGTGAGGCCACTTGTTAAGTTTTGCATGCAATTTTACAATCTAGTCCAAATTATTGGATTCTACTTTCTCTTGACAGTTCTGCTTCCGGGGGACATTTGCCAGTCTCTCAATCAAGGCAGAGTTCTTGTCACCTGGAAGCAGCACAGTGATTTGTGTGACTCACACTCTTCTAATTCCTCCAACTTGGAGGAAGGGTTTTAAGGCACTTCTCTATAATATTTGGAAATTGTCATTTCTTTACTCCCTGTATAGATTTTTTAGTTCCTCGCTTACTATGTGCCAGGCACTGAAAAACTGGCAAATGACTGAATAATTGAACAAAATATGATTAATGCTATTGTAGAAGGTTAAGAAAAACAAATGAAATAGTAAGCTTATCTAACAGCCTACAGTCATATTCTGTAGGATAGAGTATAGGGTTAAAAGTGCTAAGCTCTTGGGACAGAATAATCTGGGAAAAAAACCAAGCATCACTCCTGGCCCTGAGCACTAAAAACAATACTCACTAAACAGCATACTGTCCCAGTCCTAAGTCATATATTAGCAGTGATAAGATTAAGGAAAGACAGAAGTACAGTAAACAGGATGTGTTAGGAGTGCAATCATGCAGCTAAAGATAAACTACTTGCTTTTTAACCTTTACTCTCTCTTTGAAGCTTTCTGCTGTGCTGTATTTTCTCATGCCTGAGACTTCAATAAAAGCCAGTGAGGAACATTGGAGGGGGCTTATTTCTCCTCCTTGTGGAGTGCTTGCTGGTGTTCACCTCCCCAGGTCCCTCAGTTCAATGCAAATGGACCTAGTAGGTGATATTCATTTTGCATTGAGTCGCACAGACAATATTCTGCTCATCCTACCTTGATCTTCTCTGTAGCATTTATCATCCTAAACTATATATTTATTTGCTAAGTTGTTTTCTACCCACAACTAGAACTAAAATTCTCTTTCTTGTTCTTTACTGCATTTTTATGATGGTGCCTGACACATGCTAAGTTCTTAGTAATATTCCTTGATGGACTGAATAGAAGGAAGGAAAATTCTATGGGACTTAAAGGAGGAAATTTTCTTTGCATAAGAGTCAGGAAAGGTCTCAATATAGAATGAGCTCTGTGCTGGCTCTTGGTTGATGGGAGGCATTAACCAGGCAAAAAATGGAGTAATGCTCAGCTGGTGGAAGTTGAACATACAAGTGCTGGAGATGTGGAGGAGTGAGCAATGTCTAGGGATTGTTATTGAGGATGGGCACACGGCTGGAGCCTGAAGGTGTGTGATGAAGAGGCATCAGGACGGGGGCAGGTGGTCTTACCTGATAGGCTTAAGAAGCTTGGACTTTTCCCCTCAAGGCTGCAAGAACTGCCAAAGACTTCCAAATGACCAATGACCAGAGCAGATGTATGCTTTAAGATAAGGAAGCCTTGAAGTTGTACTTTGCCTTTCTTCAGAAAGGCCTTTCTTAAAACGCAAGGTGGTTGGTTATAAGACAGCAGGTGATAACAGACTTTGGGAAATGAGGAACATGTCATTAGTAAGAAACAGAGAATCACCTTCCATGACGACAGGCCGTGTAGACTGTACCTTCCTCGCTGCCAACCACAAAGTTATTGACGTCTCCTGTCGGGAAGGCCATTCCGGTAACAGCGACAGGCTTGGACTTACTGTACACCAGCTCCATGCTCTCCTACCAAAACACGGTGTAGTTACATTTCCATCTGTCAACTCCCTGCCATGCCAAAGATAGCACGGAAAAATCATTTGGCCAAATCGTCTGTTTGCTTTTCACGCAGCGTTACAAAAGACCCCGGCTGTGCCAGAAACCATTCTTTACTGCCCCTGACATTCATGCTTCTGTGGGTCTCTGGTTTCAGGCCGGCTGGATTTCATCAGCATGTGCTGCTGCTTCTTAAGTCAGGCAGAGATGACAGGTGAGAATTTTGAAACTAATGGTGCAGAAATGAAAGATAATGCTGTAATGGTTACACTTGTCAGCTCCAGGCTTTAATAAAACACACAATACCCTTGTATTTACAAACATTTTCAAAATCAATTGCTCATGAGAATACACATGTATTAATATCAGGTGTACTAAGCACATTTGTCAAAGAAAAGTGTGTGTCCTCCATGGACTGAAACCAGAAAGTTGTCACTCAGGTCATAAAAAACAGATTTCAACAGGGTCTAGATTGCAGAAAGGGCAGCCGTTGGGTGCATAGGCTATAAGCCTACAAAGGAACGAGATTTAAGTAAGTCTTTAAAATACTTAATGGAAGTCTTTATTTTATATAAAATAATTTTTAATTGGAAATTAAAAATTCCCAATTTTTAAAGATACACTGCTGAATTAAGTTTAATAACAGAAAAGAGTAATTTACAATAACTAATGTCACTGAGTATTTCTGGGTATTTACATTAAACACCCTATTTTATGTATCTGAAACAATTTTGAAAAATCATTCTGGGGCATCATATCCTTATAGTTTTCCAGGAGTTCAGTCTTTCTTGCACTAACAAATAAACTCAGTCATTTCCTTCCAGGAGTCCATAAATCCGAAGCGCATGCTGACAGCACAGGCAGCACTGACCCCACGGTCCTGTGATGTGCTCACAGTTTGTGAGATCAGACACAGCAAGCACATTAGCAACTGGGCCCAAGGAGAAGACGCTACAACAATGTCATACAGCAAACTGGACCAGCCAATGATCTGCTCCATCATTAAAAATAACAGCCAGGAAGGTAAAGCTTCTCAGTTGCCTAACTGGAAGAGAGAGGTACAGGGATAACTGTGGGCTAGCCCTCTACCTTCCTGCTGCCTATGGAAGCCACGCCATGAAATTCTGTCTCTCCATAGATGCAGCAGCCTGTGGGCATGCTCAAACTACTAAGCATGGCTTTGAAGCCCTATACAACTGGTTTAACCTAGACAAAGACATACGTAATAAAAAAGGCCAACTAAAAATTCCTAAATGGAGGGTTTTCTCTTTTTATATGTGTGTATAAACTCCATGCTTAAAAAAAAAGAAAAAGTGGCTGAGAATTTGAAGACAAAGTCATAAGGTATGCCCGCACAACTCCAGACCTATGTAATGTGAAGGATTAGCAAAAATCGAGGAATGGCACGTGTGAGCAGCTTATTCGCACTCTCTTTCCCCCTAAAATTAAAAAAGAACTTAGTCTTGGTATTCCCTACGGATGTATTTTGTGGCAACTTAAAGGAGGTTCTTTGCAGTTTCCACATTTCCTTATGTATACATTGAACCTTTGATGTCTTCTAAAATTGTGTGACAGGCATTCCAGGGATGTTATTCCAGGAAAGGGAAGAGGAATGTTAAAGTTGAGAATTATCTCCTAGATAATCTGTTAGCATTTTCTTCATGTTTCCTTGTATTTTTGTCAAAGGCTAGAATAATGAATTCTTCTTTGTGGCTTTTAGTTGGAGGGTGATGAAGTACTGTTTTTTCACACAAAGAAATGGGGGAAAGTATGTATGCCTGCGTTCCTGCATGTATGCATGTGTGTGCATACTTATGTATATTTTGAAAGTTGCATTTATATACAGACTCTCTCCAGCACTCTCACCCACTTCGGTTCTTTTGTTTGGTTCCTATTACTGCAATCAGTGGTGGTTTGGAAACTTTGGAACTTTTTCGTTTTCGACTTCTCATTTGTTGAGTAAGGAATGGCAGGAGCCATTCTGACAAACATTCCAGAGGAGAAAACAGATGGTTTGACAAATTCTTCATACACACAGGCGGTTGTCTAGGCGATGGATGCAAGCAAGGGCTTGGATTTCTGTTTTGCTGGGAGACCTTTCCTCCATGGCAAGTCCCCATGAGGGATGGCTCTGCTGAGCTTCAAGCTCATTTGCATTTGTTTAGCAGTGCTTTAGGGTAAGTACAACTCATACCGTAGGCAACTTCCATAATTACTATGCTTTAAAATGGATTATTTCATTTTCACTTGAAACTGACCTAAGGATTAACGTATTACAATAATTACATGATTTGTGGTAAAGGAAATGGGTTTTGGCTTCAAGAGGAGACTGCGGAAAGCAGGCCCCACTCTTTCAAGTGCATCCATTGGTTTTAGCTCCTATAGGATGTGAGGGTTTGGCTTTTAGGAACTATGTTCTATTAAGTAGGTCTCTCTTTTAACCAGGATGTGCTTATGTGTAGGGGAAAACAAACCCACCTGTGGAGTTGAGAGCATGTCCAGGCTCCAGGAACACATTTTGCCATCGGTGGAGACAGTGATGAGGTTATGAGCGTTCTGAGTCCCGACAACATTGACACAGTACACGGGGTGCTGCAAAAACATAAACATGGAGGATCAGACACAGATCCAGGAGGAAATGCTTACATTGGAGTGGCCAACACATCATTCCAAAACAAGGATTAAAGAGTGACATAATACCACTGTAATACAAGCCTCAGGTCATTTGCCACTTTTGAGTTGAACCCCATTTCTTTTTAATGGCTCTGGCGGCACTCCCATGGTAGTGGAAATCCTCACCAAGCTTCACCTTGCTCAGTCGGATGCAATGCTGTGGAACTGAAGGAGGGTGGAGCAAATGAGGATGGTAGGGCAGAAGCCAAGCGGGGAGGGGAAGGTGGGTAAGTCTCCACTGCAGAGTTTGGCTTCTAAGCTCAATGTGAGTGACAGAAAAAGACAGTCTTCAGAACTATTGACTTTGGGAAGTTACTAACTCTAGAGGTTACTGCATTATAGTCACATTTGTTAACATTCTTTATAAAAAGTGGTTAATATTCATTTGCCTGTTTAATTTTGGGGAGGGAGATATTGATAGTAAAATTCTTGGCACAACGTACTTAGTGAGATAAAATTTAGTTTCTTTAATGTTACTACGAAATCCAGGATAACAATAAATTTGTTTTTCAAAATGCTATTCAGAGTAGTATGGAGGTTTAGATTTACCCAGGGTCATTTATACATCCCAGGAACTTTTAGCAAGATGCTCTAGCCTTCTGTCATCCTCCTGTAAGTCATCCTCCTCTGCAGAATTCTACACCATGGGCCAAAATTTGCAGCTGCACATTAAACACTAAATGGAAGGTTAGCATAAGCTGAACCTAGCAGCAATTTGGGTTAGATTTCAGGCAGCTTAGCTATCTGTGGCCAAACCACAACTGACTTGATGCTTCTCTGTGCAAATAGCTGACAGTCAAAGTCTTACTGTTGATGAGTTACTGTCCATAATACCTCGCCACAATTACAATGAAACAATTTTTAATATTGGCAAGTTGATATTGTATAAAGGATGGTTCCCAAGCTATTATTATCATATAAACTGCTGGTCAGAAGGAGCAGTAATAACCATCTAGTGAAGCTGCTCATCTGCCTCAACCAAGAGGTGGTCCTTACGCTGCTTAAACACCTTTCTTAAAGGGTAGCCAGGTTTTGCACTGATTCCTAGGGTTTTTTTTCTTCCACTAATGAGGATACATTCGATCCAGCATCAGGCTGATCACGTCAAAAGAAGACAGCTGTTTGAATATTTATAGATTGTTGTTTCACATTACCCCTCCCCCCACAAGTCCTGCTTACTCAGACTAACCTTCACCAATTCTTTCCACTGCTCCCTGGGTAACTGGTTTTCAAATCCTTCTCCATCCTTTTCAACCTCTTTTGAATATGCTGTATTTTATCTTAGTTCCCCTAATAGCGAAGTTCTAAGAGTGAAATGGAACTAATACATTCTGACCAGAAAAACAAAGACATCTGGGTAACATTGAATCGTCACTTCTTGTGTCATTATAAAAGACTGTTTTAATGCGTGCTAAGATCAAATCTGCTTTTTTGACAATTACATCACCTCTTTCGCCCATGCTGATGGACAGTCAACTGAGTCCCTATGTCTTTCATGTTATGGTCCTACTGAAACTTTCTATTTATTTACTTACTTATTTTTTATTTCAGATTAATGTGAAGATACAAACAATTAGTTTGTAATGTTTTCTTTTGTTAGGTAAAGTCCATGTTATAGTTGTGTCCCTCACCCTGGACATATACCACATACCCTTACATTGTGCCTATTAAGTAGGACCCCAATTCCCTTCCCTCCTCTCCACAACATGAATTGAATTGAGTTTTTCTCTTAAGTGTGTGTGCATCAGACCTTCTACTGGCTTCATACTAGTATTGCGTACATTAGTTATTTGTATTTCAGTTCTTGTGATACTTCTTTACTAAGAAGAGTGTTGTGTTTCAACTCCATACAGGTTAATATAAAAGATGTAAAGTCTTCATCTTTTTATGGCTGAATAGTATTCCATAGTATACATATACCACAGTTTATTAATCCATTCCTGGGTTGATGGGCATTTAGGTTGCTTCCACAACTTAGAAGTTGTAAATTGAGCTGCCATGAACAATCTTTTGCAAACGCCCTTATGTTAAAATGATTTTTTTTTCCTTCTGTGTAGATGACTAGTAATGGGATTACAGGATCAAATGAGAGGTCTAACTTGAGTTCTTTGAGGATTCTCCATACTTCTTTCCAAAAGCCTGTATGAGTTTGTGTCCCACCAACAGTGTAAAAGTGTCCCTATCTCCACATCTGTACCTATTCAAACTTTCAAAGGAATTTGGCCCTGGTGGATCTGCCCAGTTGGAAGCACAGCAGAGATCTGAAACTAAATATTATCCTCATCAGTTCTCCAAATATCAAGAGGACTGACTGTTTGTGGGACAACGGAAAATACTCTTTCCCCAGTCTCTGGTGTATGAGGAGCCTGGGGCAGTGTACAATCAAACTCATGCCTGGAGCCATACAACACGTAAAGCTCTGTGAAGAAATCAAATGAAAAAGTGCATGTAACAAATTCTCACCTAGAAACAGTAGACTTAGTAAAACTGAAGGATGGAAAAGCGGGGTTCAAATATTGTTTTGAACTTGATATCCATCTAACAATGGGGTTCTTCATTAATCACTGAGCGTCAACACAAATCACTGAAATGCTAATGGGTTAAGACACAGAGGGTGCAGGACAGAAAAAAGGATGAGAAGGGTCAAATCCAGAGGAGTGTGCCTGTAGCCTGTCCTGGCCTTTAATCCTTTAATCAGTACTACTCGCCTGTGCTTCCATGAATGATAGAACTTGGTTTGAAAGACGAGAGAGTCTTTCAAACTGTTTGAGTTTCTCTCTGTTCGAGAGAGAGACATAAAGAAACCAAAACAGAAGCAGACACTGCTTACATCCCCTCCCCAACACACCCCTCTACTTAATGGAAAGAAAAAAGCAACAGTAGAGCTCATTTTTCCAGTAAGAATCCAGATTGTTTTTATTTATTTTAGGAATAAACTTACTGTGTGGCAGACGGATTTTGTTTTAATTATGATTTCCTGTTGTCTCAAATACATATGTGTGGTGGGTGTGAAAGGAAATTAGTTAGTAATCTGTGGTGGGCCTCCTTTTCCTTTTTGATCCTGGTACCAACCAGTCAGGCAATAAGGGAGATGGAAAGACAATCACAAAATTAACTGTGAAATTTTAGGTGTGGAATAGATAAAACACAGGAAAAGAGAAAAATGGACAAGTTTTTATTTATTTTCTAACAGAAATAATGTCATGAATTTTGTTGATAATAGTATGTTAGTTGTGATGATCACACTCTTCAGTTACTTCAAAAAGAAACATTAACTCTTTGGAAGAGTGCCTGGGTTTAGATTTAACCCAAATGTTTATTACTAAATGTTCTAACATTTGGATATATAATTTTGGAAATTTCAAAAGGTATGTTCACAAATACTCCAGACACCCATATAGAGCAGTGGTTCTCAACCTGTGGGTCGTGACCCCTTTGTAACAATGAAAATACATCACAGCATTAGGAAAGTTGAGAACCACTGATATAAAGTCAAGAAGAAGTAGTTTCAGGGCAGCACCTGTGGCTCAAAGGAGTAGGGTGTTGGCCCCATATACCGGAGGTGGCAGGTTCAAACCCAGCCCCCCCAAAAACTGCAAAAAAAGAAAAAGGAAAAGTGGTTTCGCACTACTTGAGCAAACACCTGCAGTAAGCCTGTCTTTTCCTGGGCTACAATTTTCTGTAATTAGTTTGGAGAAATAGGGTAGGCAAGAGCAATTTCCCAAAATTCCCAAGAACTAGTTTCACCTGAATGTGTCTTTGTCTCTCTCCACCCCCAATCAATCAAAATTAGGACTGACATGGTATTTGTCATTTCCCATTGTCAATCTTATAAGAGTGAAAGAAATTTCCTCCTCCAGATCTCAGCTGAAGCAGCTAGCAATCCTTCCTCAAGCCAGAATGATTTTGAGGCCAGCAGATGAAACAGATGAGGCAACCACATTAAGGAAATTGAAAACAATAGTAGAGCTGTATCCTTGGGCATAATTTGGGCATTTCAGAGAAAGAACATCAGTTACCCTGAATGTCAAGGTAGCAAGGATTGATGGAGACATGTCTGTCTTCTCACTCGTCCTAACAATTGCTATACACACCTGTCATTCTCTTAAAGGAAATGACAGAGTAGTTGTCTCATGAAGACTATACGGAACCCCTTCTACTAAATTATGGGTAATGGTTTTGAGATGTTGACTTTTAACCCTAGGGATTATATTGTCACTGTAGACTTTACATTGAGACATCACACATTCCGGAATTTAAAGTCATAGTACCTCCTTAAATCACAAATGGAAAAGGCCAATTGGCAAAAATCCCATATATACCATCCCTAGACATAGAATGCTTACCCTTTGTGGTTTATTTGAAAAATATCTATTTCTACTTTATAATGTGAAGTGAAGGGTTTCTTTCAAGATACAGTTCCACAGATGCTTCTTCCAAAGTTTCTCTTCCCTGTTTGTTTTTGGGGCATCCAAGGAGATCCTTTCTCTGTGCTAGAACATGTACGTTATTCAGAGATACCTCTAAAGCCAGTGCTCCTTTCAACTACTTTTCACTCAGCTTTATACTGTCAGTCAAATATATATATAATATTTTTGACTGACAGTCAAAAATAATAATTATAATAATATTTTAATATAAGCAAGTAAGAGGATCAAAGTCTGTAATATATAATATATACTATTATAATAATTACTATACTAATTATTAATTAGTATATACTATTATAATAATTACTATACTAATTATTAATTAGTATATACTATTATAATAATTTTTAATTCCTCAAGATATAATAACTATAGATACTAACTTAGTGTTCAACTGGCAACATCTGTACTTTTGTGAACAAGAGGAACTTTCATTTCCTCTTTCAGTGCTTGGCAGGCAGAGAGGGACATGAGGAAAGTCTGACTTACTGTGTGTGCAGCAGCAGACAAGGGCGTCCGCTGCACCGGTGTCCTTCGATGACTGCGATTATCCCAGAGGACAATCTGGCCCGAGTAAGTGCCACCAACCACCAAGTTAGGATGGAAACGGGCGAAGCAGACAGACATCACAGAGGACTGTGAGGAGAAAGGACAGAGAGAGGCTCTATGAAATGCATCTCCCGTGGAAGGTTCTCTCTTCCTGCAGAGGAAACGGGTCATCACATGAACAGAATGCCTCCCGTGAAACGTAAAGCTCTTTGAAGCTAGACTGTGCAGTGCGCAGACAGGGGATTGTGTTTATAGACACAGGGATTTTTCTGAACAGGCTGGTCAATGGTTGCCCCTTGAAATCTGAAGTTTTAAGTCCTGGCCATGTCACCAAATAGGCATAAAACCTATGATAGGTACGTCATTTTTCTGGAGTCTGTAAGGCTTACTTTATGGACATTCAGTTCTCATTTATTGAATCAAATTGCCCACAGAACTAATGCTAAGTCTCCATTGAAGGCTTCACAGAGCAATTGTTGGAAGGCATGGCCACATCAAGCTATACTGTTTGCAGAGTTAGCAAGGCCAGAGTAATTCTAGCTTCAAGGACTTTAGGATGGGGTGCTTATTCATTTTGTTTTGTTTTTGCCTGAATGTAGACTTCTAGGAAGTAAACTAACCTCAGACTGATCCAACCGGCTCCTCCCCAGCTGCCCTCGCTCCCATGGGTGTTCTCCCTGGCCTTTGTCCTGCCCACTTCAGACAACTCCTCATGTTATCCTTTAGTTATTTAAACACACAGCCAGAAATGAATTTCAGTCAGACTCTGCCATGGTCTGTCATAGTCTGTCACAAACAGGATCCCTGAAATACCACAAAAGACTATTGGATATTACATTTTTTTTGTAGGAAATTACTTAACTGAGATAGAAGCATGATGCAATTGAAATCAGACAAGTTACTGCTTCACATCTCCTGAGTCCACTTGAATTCCTTCAGCACTTTGCATATTTGCATTTATAGGTGGAAGTCATTGCTTTTAACAAATGCCTTTCATTCCTTCAATTAAATTCAGTGAACAGTCATTGAGACATTACTATGTATAAGAAAGGTGTTGCAGCAAGAATGGTGGGAATACAGAGTGTAGTCATCACCCTCCACAGACCCGTGCCCTGGTAAAGGGAATGAGAAAAACGTGGACCCAAATGGGCAGAGCTGCTCCTAGACACACAGTCACGGGGCAGGCACAGGCCTTGGCAAGTAGGTGGGCAGCAAGATGGACTAGTGCCCCCGCTTGTCCTTTGGGTTTAACATCCACTTGCAGGGCCTTGAATGGGATTAAATCCTGGGAGCATGTTCATTTGTCTGTGTGCCTGTTGACCGGGGTGGGGGAAAGGGAAGATTTGTTTTAGTTAAGGGAGGAAATAAGAGGGTAGAGGAAATGACGTGGTGAGAAAGGCCTCCTGGAAGGTGGCATGTCACACCTCCAAGGGCATGTGGAACACTCAGTGACTGGAGAGGAGAAACAGGCATTCCTGAGAGGTGGGATAATGGGGAGAAGGGACTGGAGGCGGCAAAACAGAGACCGGTGGACCATTCATAGTGTTTTCTGGCTGGGAAGGAGTGTGCCCGGCAGAGGCAAGGACCAGGAAAGTGGCAGGGAGGTCTCTGGGACTTGACCAGAAAAGGCCTTGAATGGCACAATTTGGAACTTTTTCTGTGGTTAGAAATCCCAGCTTCCTGAACAAGCAAGTAAGAGGATCAAAGGCTGTAACCGATAAACCAGAAAAGTAGCGATTGAAAAGAAATTATGACTTCTTTCTGACTGGTAAGCTAAACATCCATTTCTTTAACAAGCCCGAAACAGCAATGAAATCCAGCTCTACTGTCTGCCTCAGGCTTCCTAGTCAGAAGTCGTCTCATTCTCAGGGAGAGGAAAGAACGTAGACTATTTTTTGATGTCATGTTTTGAATGATTTTCAGTTCTGATTCCTTGAACTCAATTCAATAAATGCTTGTGCCCCAATCTGGTTTTCATAAAGTTCAAGAATAACTCTCAATAATGATCCCGAATTAAAGAAGAAGAAAATAATGCTGGTCAGCTTCTTGTTTTACACATCCCGCAGAAATGATTCTTAGTTTTCAATTGATGAAATTTGGATTTTGCTGGAGCTATGTTGAAAATGGTTTTTTTTAAAAAAAGCTTCAGAAAGACTTACAATTATCCAGGTGGTATCGACAATTGAATTTACCAAAGCTCAAATCAATATGGATAAAGGAATGTCATTCAATTTAAAAACTCCAGAATTCAACCACTTGATTGCTTCCGTGTTTCAGTTAAGTCCTGGCAAATACCACCCTCCCCCAATCTTGCACAGTTTGTTGAGAGCCTCAGCCAGAGAAAAACAAACAGTAAAAGTATTTTTTTTTTTTTTTGAGACAGAGCCTCAAGCTGTCCCCCTGGGTAGAGTGCCATGGCATTACAGCTCACAGCAACCTCCAACTCCTGGGCTCAAGCGAGTCTCCTGCCTCCGCCTCCCAAGTAGCTGGGACCACAGGCGCCCGCCACAACGCCTGGCTATTTTTTGGTTGCAGCAGTCATTGTTGTTTGGCGGGTCCGGGCTGGGGATTCGAACCCGCCACCTTAGGTGTACATGGCTGGCGCCTTAGCCGGTTGAGCTATAGGCGCCAAGCCACAGTAAAAGTATTTTTATGAAACTGAAACATGAAATTGACAGTCAACTAGAATCCAGTTCCTCAGGGTAAGAGCTCATTCCTACTTGACCATGTATCCATTGTTCACTCTTTATTCCTTTAACCATCAAACACTTAGCACCAACTAAGAACTACTAAACCATTTCAGGCAATCTCAAATGTCACAAAAGCTCTCCATTTCAAATTCAGAATTCTGTGTACACTTGATAAAAAGTCAAATTGATGCCAAGAAGGAGTAACAACTTGGAGACCCAGAGTTATGCCTCCAGAACCTACTTTGTTTTGCTGAAAACTGATGTTACGATAATATCTCCATGAGGAAAAACAGTAGGCATATTTATTTTCCTGTTATATTTGTAAGGTGAGATATAGTTATGTTCATTAATTTCACTTACTTTTTAACATCAATACATTAATTACATGCATTATATGAGATATTTTAAAATATATACATATATTCTTATATAAATTCAGTAGAACCCCCCAAAGTTGACCACCTCTCTATATTGGCCAAGTTCAGTTGACCTAACTTTCACAGAATGGACATGTTCCACATGTATGTATCAGTACAATACTTTGATGTTGTAGTTCCTTATGTTGACAACCTCCATATGTTGACTAGTTTGTTATAGTCCCTTGGGTGGTCAACTTACAGCAGTTCTACTGTATTTTGTTCTGGATTCAATACCAATCAGCAGAGTACAACTCACTTGACACTATCATTCATATGGATATATGGACTAAGGCAGCGTGATCTCAATTAATGGCATGTAGATATAAACACTAGAATTTGATCATTTCACGAGATGTTTGTATGTACCCTGATGTTTGACATAATGGTGGCAAACATTTGGATAATGGACTTAATTTTTTATTTTTCCTCTGAATGTTTAGGTACTCAGATATGTGGGATCAGTCCTCCTACTCAAGGTCCGACAAGGAGAGCTCCTTAGGCCTCCTCAGAGTATAGGGGTCCTGGAAACCCCTGCTCCCTCCTGCTGTCCCTGCCGCCATTCATCTAGTTATGGCTGTTGCTGCCAATTGTCATGGAATTCACTGACTGTCAGTAAAAGGAGCAGCTGATGATATTATCCTGTCAGTTACATTCATTTGGTAAAAAGTAAAAAAATTCAGAAAACAATGGTTGGCACGAGTAAAAAACATGAGGTGTTTTTGGTTCTCATTTTTAATGGTACATTTTTCAGAAGGCAAATTCTATGAAAAACATTAATAACATGTTATTTTGAAAATTTTCTTCCCTTTCCTAGGCATTTACAATTATTTATATATATATATATATATATATATATATACACCATGGAGTTCTACTCAGCCATAAAAAAGAAAGAAAGAAAGAATGTTATTTGCAGCAACATGGAGGGAACTGGAGACCATTGTCTTAAGTGAAGTATCTCAGGCACAGACAACCAACACATGTCCTCACTAATAAGTGGGAGATAAGTGATGGGTACTTGGGCACAATGTCGGAAACCAGGAAGGGAGGAGAGAGGAGAGAGAGTTGTGAGATGGAAACTTATCTGTTGGTGACAGGCACACTAAAGGCCCTGAATTATACATTATACAAGGTATCTATGTAACAAAAATATTTGTACCCCATTAATATATTGAAATTAAAAAAAACCTTCATCACCAAAGCAAACAAACACACACACACAGACAACTGGTGAGCCTGGTTGACTGTGTTCCTACACACGTAATAGAGAGAGACTGTTACATGATGTACCACTATTTCCAAGGGGATGAACATCACGTTTTTGATTATTTGTATAATATAGTTCCCCTAAATTAGGAAAAGTGAAGTTTAGAGACTGTGATTTGAGGACCAAGCCAATTTTATTGACAATTTCTGGTATTGTCCACAGATACAGGCCTGGAGGCTTCTGAGGAAACCTTTAGCTTTGAAGCCTGAGCAGACTGCCTGGTTACTGGCCGTCCTTACAAAGGCAGGCTCCTCCTTATCCATGTTGCCATCTGTTCACCTGCACACGAGCTGACCCACCAGACGGTCTTCCACATCCTCATCATCTATTTCAAGAGATGTCAGTTTATTTTACCCCGTTAAGACAGAATAGAAGAGATAAAAGGGGTGGAGTTTCCACTTGCACAGTCGCCCTTCACTCACTGCATGGCATGCAACGTTCTACCACATTCAATTTCAGTCGGCCCAGACCCCTCTGTCAGTGGCTGTGGAGGCTGTTTTCTATTTTGTAGAGATAATCCAGGCCAGCCCAGGGGTGGTACTTCCCCGTGACCACAGACCCATATGCCCAGGCGGACAGCCTTTGGTCACTGCTGGCTGAGAGACGCACCCCTAGGCTCACATTTGATCTGCTTGCCTGGGTCCTCCTGTGTGTGGCACTCTGCCCATTTCCCAGCCATCCTGCCTGGGTGGGAGGGATAGGGGTCTTGTG